GTTGTGTTCACTCCCAGGGGAACTACTTCGAGGGTGATGGATGAATTTAATACCTGAGATAAGTGTACGGGTTTTTATACGCGCAGTCTGGAAACCTTCCGATCGCACCTCGTATACGGTTCACTGTTATATGTACCTCGTGACGTTTGCAGTTGATGGAGACGCTGCTAACTCTGTCCGTGTGCTTATCCGCGTACTTGGGAAGCTGTCACGTCATATCTGAAGTCCGTACGTTCACGGCAGACAGGCTTAAAAATGCGGTGACTGCTTTCAAGTCTCGTCACTGATGAAGTAGTCAAGAATGTTTCGCCTTTTATCTCACATTCAGCGGAACGGTATCTGACGCTGTGCAACTTTCTCCATCCTCGTGGTACGACCTTCCTCCGAGGTCCAGGTGTTGCCCTCAGACGCCCACGTGACACAGCAGCAGAGAGTGTTTACAGCGTCGACTGGCGTTTGATGCCGACCGCTGGATCAGCGCCGAGGCTCGTGTCTGGTCTTTGTTACTGTCGTCATTGGCTTTCGACCGCTCCGAACTCAAAGCGTAACAGAACTGACGCTGATCGTTGCTGCCAGGAACAACACGCACCTGCTCTTTGAACTCTCGGCGGTCCAGAGTCTCCCTGTCATCTCCTTGCCCTGACTGAAAGCACGGGACTGAACGTGTTCCATGTCTTCAGCCAGCTGCCGGAAATTGCAGAACCAGAATATTCACAGTGCACGTATTTTGACGTAAATACGTATATATTTTAGGGTCAGTGTCATTCGGCAAAAATGTGTTACGAAAAAGTGTAACTTCATTGTTATGTTACCTTGGAAACGTCATCTCTTTATCAACAAATAAACAACAATGGTTACCTACATAGTTACCTTACATTACATTTATAATTATATTTAGAATAATATTTATATATAAACTTCCTTTCCGTATAGACGTATTTACGTCAAATTCTCCGGAACCGTGGTTCCACTGACAACTTTTTAGCTGCTTGCAACGTGAACAGTTGATAAATCGTCGTGAAGTAACTTTTTAAGGAACATCCTGTGAGGTTGTACCCTCAAGGGAAATAGGGATACGGGAGACAGGTTCCAATTTTTTTTACCGGTGTCCCTCGGGATGATGTTTGTTGTAATAGGATTTCGTTTTAGAAAGTTGTTCCATGCGGCATTTGACGACGCTGTATCAACTGAAAGAGTAGTTTAGCGGTGTGTCCCACACAATGTGGAATCCACCGTGACATCCTGCCACAGAAGCAGTGAATAAACTATTCGGAAATGATTTAGTCACAACACAAAACATAGCCATCACATGGCAGCAGGTGGGTTCCAAATAATGTGGAACTATATTTAACTGGTACTCCCCAAGTGTCAAATAATATGTTTAAAAAGTAATGAAGAGGAAAAGTTGTTGAAGGAAGTTGCTCTATATACAGCTCAGAAACAATTATCCTGGTGTGGTTTTTAATGCATGCTTTTAGAAAAAGTCGTAGCTGATATTTAATGAATTCTAAATATCAATTGAAAGATTGCATTATGGAAATTGAGAACATTGTGAAGCATGTGCTATGGGCCTATAAAGAGGACCTGAAACACCCAACCGGTATTTTCGCTAACAAGGTTGAGTAATACATATATTTATTTTTCCAGTCTATACACAGTTTATCGTCTGTGGATATCAGACGTCCGACACATCACAATACAACCTGATAATGAACATCAAAATGCATACTCCAAATCAAGATGAAGACTGAAAATTAAAAATCAATAAACGCAATGCACAAATGTACAATAGTTTTTAAAAATGTATGAATTGATAAGCCTGAAGATGATGTGGTAAACATCGAAACATGTCGTCGAAATCAAAAGCGCTGTGATAAATGTAATATTATACGACACAGAAAAGCGCCATAAAATATAACATAATGCAATTTATATTGTAAATGTTATAAATAATTTTAACAACATTATTTTAAAACAAGTTTTGTGTATAGACTGGAAAAATAAATATATGTATAGGTTTTTTATGTAAGGTAAGGTTGTTAGGTTAGGTTATGTTATCTTGTCTGTGATTGGGGAGCAGTCACATTACTTTGCTTAACTCAAGTGCGCCGTCCTACAGCGGCAACTTCTCCGACACCGCTGTAAGGCGTGTAGTTTGCAACCGTTTTTAAGGCCAACTTTTCGTAAGATGCCGCGCTACCCTGTGCAGCCATGTCGAGAGGCTAACGCAGTTGAAGAATTTCGCAATGCAGATTTCTTTTGTCTAAATTAAATTGGACTTGTTTGTTTGTGTCTCACTTGAATTGGTCCACCACGTGACACTGTGGGCTAACACGCTGGTCTCTAACGAAGTGCCAGTTTCCGTCTTTTCGAAGCAATTTTTTTTTCTTTTTTTGGTACAAAATTGTCTTACGTGAACTTTTATTTCAAAATTTCATTTAGTACATTGTGGATATCAGAGTTCAGTATCTGCACAGTCTCACATATACGCACCCAATGTTCTAGAATTATAATTAGTATACGATGCTTTTAATCATACGTTACTACTGATATTTTATAAACTATTAATCTCTATGCCCGAAATAAGTAGCCATTCCCTAACATATGTACACTGTTCTTGGAAGCGAAATGTGCCCGGAGAGACGTAGTTGGTTTTTCAGCGGCAGTATATCCGTTCGTAGCATTGAAAGTGACAAACTTTAGGTCACTTGGGGCAGATTGAAACACGTGTTTCTCTGGGAAATGTGATGTGCAGACAATTTGGAACGTCTGCTTCTTCGCCTCGAAGTATTTCATGGCTCTGAAGCTTGAATTTCGACAGTCTTCTGCTGAAGACAAATATTCAGCACGAAGTGTGGTTCGGCCATGACATTTGGGTTGACGGACAGCCTCTATTCTCAGACGACGCCGATCGTGACGCCCACGTGGTCATTTGAACGTCGTCTTTTGCTCTCGAAGTTGACCTTTGTAACGTTTCTTCCGAATCGTTCGGTTCTTGCTTTCCCACAGGGACATCGACGTCCCTTCCACCACGCAGGTCCGATTTCCTGACGCCGTCCTCGTCACTGCTGTCGCATTCGATGTCCTGTTCTTCTATCACGTTCAGAGAATCTTCAGCTATTTCAAATACTTCAAATTCCATGTCGTCGAAGAATGTCTTACTGCCCCTTTCAAGACGTTTTGACTTCTCTGGTGAAAAGCACATAACTCTGTCGTATGTATTGGCCTGGTCAGGTATGGACCCGCCGTCCCAACGCGCGGTTGTCGAAGACCGTTGTCCGTTTTCCCTGACCTGGTCTTCGTTCCCTGTCTCGTCGTCGGTGCTCGTGTCTGGTTTCTTCCACGAATGCTCGTCCTCGGTTCCTGCCAGCTCCAGGCGACTCCCACAGCTGTTGCTCTTTACGAGCCGAAACTTCACTCCCAGACACTGCTCCCGGGTGAGACGATCTCCTTGTCCCTTGCTCCTCTGTATTTCGTCCATGATGGCCAAGGTGATCGGACTGCGCACCGGGCCGTCGCTCGCTGAGATTACTTGTCCTCCGTAGTACGTGACGGTCGTTCCGCACGCCCGGATCCTCTCCAGGACTTCCGGTGGTACGTAGTGACCCTCGTCGTTGTCGTCGCTGAACGCGTCCTCTCTGCGACTGAGGGCGTCGGCAGACTCGACGTCGGTCTCGCAGCAGCTCAGGTCGCTGCTGACACCAGACGACAGACTCCCGGAGTCCGTCCATCGCTTGTGCAGGGCGTCGTGTCTGAAGACCGTGTCCACCGTCAGATACCTTCTCTTGATTTTGTCCTCGGATTTCGACGTGTCGGTCGTCTTCGCCGCCGAACTTCTGATTGCGACGTTGGCGTTTGAAAGATCTCCTTTGCGCGTGTCCTGAATTTTCACCGTTCTCTCAAACATTTCTCTGGCGTGTCTTACTTTGTCAGGGTCCGGGAGTTCCTCGTCGACGAGTTCTCTGTTGCTTCTGACCGGGTGGTAGAAAAAGTGCCGTCGTAGTATCGGCTGCTGTCTCGGCAGAGTGTTCGACGCCGATGTGTCTCTGTTTTTCTTGACGGTGGCTCCGGTTATCCGGCACGTGCTTTCGGACGCTGACTTCCGCTCTTGGAAAATCGCTGCGGACTGCCTGACGGGTTCTATGATGACCACGTTGTTGTTCACCAGGAGCTCGCGGAGACCATGCTTGCAGTCCTGTAGGTACTGAAGGAGGCCGTCAAATGCCGCCACCTTGTGATCGTCTGAAACTGACCTGCCGATAGTAGACGGTGCTTCCTGGCCGTTGCAGGTGGTCGCCCTGGAAACCGCGATCTTTGGGCCGGGAGGCGAGTTGACCTTCGATCCACTTGACGATTTCTCCGCCCGCAAGGCGGAGTTCGACATCGGCTTTGTCGTGTCACCAGAGGGCGGCAGAATTTCCGGTGCGGTTCCGGAGGCTTTTAGGGGCGGCGTAGTTTGTGGTCCTACCTCGAAGATGCTCCTGAGTTCGCGAGTGCCACTCGCGCGGCTTCCTTCTCCTTGCCGGGCTCTGACCACGTCCTGTAAATACAAGAACGTGGCTGTATCAAGAAGGCGGTGGACACGTCGTTGAAGACCTCACTACACTCAGTACACTGACTGAATTTCAGGGGTTCGATTCCCGGTTGGGGACTTAAGGCGCCTACAGCGGTTCTACTGGTGGGTGCTGTGGCCCCCCTCGTTCCCTGGGATAAATCGGCCGGAGTATAAAGCTAACTACTTACCTTCACGTAATCTCGAGTCTTAGATCTTAGTCTTATATATCATGCGCTGCCCCGTGAGTGTGAGTCTTAGTTATTAACTTAACCGATTGGTCAACGAAATTTGTGATGAGCCCAGGTAATGGTGAGGGATGGTTGTCGTATTCAGTGCGGAGGGCAGGGCTGGTACTTACGTGTTTTTCCCCGACCCGCGGCTTGCAGGAGGTCGTCGCGGAGTCCGTGATCCGCATCACTTGCGGTCTCCTGGACATCGTGGCTTCTGGTGCGACCTGCGTCGATTCCTCTGTATTTTTCTCTGCAGAGTCTTGACCTCCTCTGTCTTCGCTGCTGGGCTGATTTCCTGCGGAGCTTTTATTTTCAGGGACTTGTCGTGGTTTGTGTCTGTCACTTGAAATGTGCCTTCCGCCCGTTCTTTTCGCCTGTTTTCTTTCGTCGCCTGAGAACTCGCGCGTCGTCTGTGCGGAGTCTGGCTTCGTCTTTGTACGGACTCCCTCCCCACAGTCCGTGTGTCCTATCTCCCGTTGGAGCCTGCCCGGGCCCGGAGTGTCCTTTCCTCTACTTGCAAGGTCCTCAGTGACTGACCAACTTTTCTCTCGCGGGTGCCCGTAAACGCTTCTCGTCGTTGATTCGTCTTGGCTTCTCTTCTCAGTTTCTCCTGTTGATGAATCCTCGCGTCTCTTCGCACTCTGGCCTGCAGAGATCTTAAACGTACTTCCTGTGCGTCGTGTGGGATTCTCGACTCTTTCCTCACACCCTCGTTCAGACGCAGAATTTGGTTTTTTGGTTGTAGATTCACTCTTCACAGCGTCGCTTATGAAACCCGGGGTTCTGTTTGGAGATTCCCCTGTATCGTTTTGCGCTGTGTTTGCAGAATCTCCTGCAGGACTTGGAGGTCTCTGATTCGTCTTTGTAGATCTCCCTTTCGGGTCTTCAGGAAGACGTGTTTTCTTTGAACTGTCGTTACCAGAACCTTGAATTGCGTGTTCTATTTCGTCAGTAGTTACCCGAGTGGTTTCTTCCGCAGATTCAGATGTTGTCTTGTATCTCTTAACTTCCGAGTTAGTGATGGTCTCAGTTACACTTTTCCTGTTCCGCCCGTCTTCGTCAACATTCGCGACCCTCGCGGCTTTGCCGTCTCTCCGCCGGTCTGTGGCTGTCGCCCAGGGTAAGGCGAGGTCACGAGGTAGGATCCCGCAGTCTTCACTTCTGAAGTCAGGGGGCGGCGTGAGTAGAAGGGGCCTCGCCCTCGGTACCAGGGGCGACCTGCGAACAACAAAAATTCTTCGATGATTGTGTCTCTCGGCTTTAGGAAAAAATTGATAGTCATTCAAGGAGTTTTATCACTCAGTTTGACAAAGCCCTTCTAGAGAAGCTGATAGTCGGCTAGCTGGTCAGGAAGTTATCCCCCCTCTCGTATGGGACGTTCCGGGCGGCAGCTCCAAGGCCAAGACTCACGCTGACTGGAGTTCCGAAATCGTGGTTACTGACGACGTCTGGCCTAAGACGGCGACGCTGTGCGTCGAGTTTGTTAATCAGCGAAGAACGTTCCTACAGGTTAAACAAGGAATTTCATCGCCTTGTTGATCTGTTTAACGACGCTGTAAGCAGTGCGGAATGGACTGTGGTCTGTGAGTTGAAAGTCGGCGAGCGAATTGAATTCCTTAACACTTAAGGTTTCAGAAGATCGTGTTTGAACCCGTGTTGTGTGAGCCACCCGTTTTTCCTCTCAGTCGGACAAAAATTGTGGGCTCTTTAGATGAAGACACTCGCGTTTGTGTGTGTCAAGGCCTCCTCTCAGTCGGACAAAAATTGTGGGCGCTTTAGATGAAGACTTACTCGCGTTTGCGTGTGCCAAGGCGACAGGATCCGGTCTTAATTAGTGGTTTCCAGGCGAATGTTCCAGAATTGTTCGACGTGCCTACATTTCCTAATTTTTTCGTAAATATTTGTCTCCGGCTAAAAACGTTTTTGGATCGAATGCTATTTGTCACTGTGATACTCAAAAAAGTTTCTTTTTGTCCGCCGATAGACCAATAGAAGGAGTCTGTGTCTTTAAAACCCCGGAACAAAGACCACTGGCACGCGAAGCTGATCACTGCGAGGTTAGTAACGAGGGACACTTCACCTCCACGCCATCTATGCACCTTCAAGGCGAAGACGTGGCGTTTTCCATCCTCTTGAAGGCCAGTTATCGCCCTGTGTGTAATTGGCGTCTGATTTGTTTAACTCTTCTCTCGTGACACGACCACGGGCCTGTTCGTTTAATTAATTTGCGAGGTGACATTGCCGTTTCAGATTCCTTTCGGCTCTAACAAGTGTGCCTAAGTGAGCGTGAGGTCCCGTCCCTAAAAGTCAGGTCGTACACTAAAAAACCCCGCGGTACTCATGGAGTCCTCTTGCCTGCTGTGGCTAGGAGGAGTTATTGGTAGGGGCTACGATTGGCCGAGGATGTAGCTAGGATGTTTAAACAAAGTCGAAGACCGAAGGGATTTTGGAAGAGAGACTGTGTTACCTTCGCTTGTGATGGTGGACCAGTCGAGCGCGCGGTATCAACTGCTTCCTGCGACGAATATGCTGAAGGCCCGCCTCTTCAACGATGACCTGCAGCGGCGACTGGTGCCCTCTGGTGGCTGCCGTCGGCCTCTGCTGGTAAGAGCTTCGTCTCCTGCAATCACATCACATCGGCCCGCGTTATCTGTCTGTTCAGCGAGTCAGACATCTGGTATCCGAAAAAGAAATACTTGCAGTTTTACTCAGCAGTGACCTCTGAAACGTCGGTAAACTTGTACCGAAGACTTACACGCCGTGAGGACCTGAAAACTAACCTGGTGTGAGCTCAGGTAAAGTGTTCGTATCTCGTGACCTCCGGTCGGTTTAGTCGAGCGTTTATGAGAGAATGATTCCCGTGAGGACGGGCGATGGACCAGAGACGCGTCTCCGTCCGGCGTTGAGCAATTGTAGCGAGTGACGCAGGACTCGATGAATAACGCGTTTTCTGTGCATACAAAACTTCCTTGACGGAACTGGTCGCTGCTGTACATACTAATTTGCTTTTCTAGTGTTTTCTCTGCGTCATCAATGACACAGCATTGAATGATGTTATGTAATTAGGAACGAGAGGAGGGGGCGAGCCTTTCGTGGGTTTTTTTCCTTTCGATTTTCTTCCAAGAAAGTGAAAGTTTCCGTCTATGCTTTTTTGGAAAATGAAATTAGTCGATTATTTTACCGGAGAAAAATAATTTTTTGTATTTGCAGTTCTTTTTTTATGAGAGTCTGGGAGAGATATACGAAGTTTTGTCGAATTATTTTTAGGACATGCCCCTGTCGGATTTTTTTTTCTTCAAAAAAAGACAAAATACGACGACGACTTTTGGGTGGGCGTCTCTTCAGAACTCGCAATTTCTGAATTCGCCATTGTTTTTCCCCACGACGCTGGAAAAATCCTGCCCATAAATTTACTTCGCACGACATTTAAAAGTTAACATACGCAGTTTTGTTTGAAGTTTCTTTTGGCTGAAATTCACATTGGAATAAATAGTTTATAACTCTGTTGACAGGATTGAACTGGCTCAGGACAGTTTTTTTTTTGTCGATCGGTTATGAAGACGGTGATGAATTTTCAGCTTCCGTGAAAGATAAGAAACTTCACTCGTCAAGGAGATTATTTAACGACACTGTTTTCGTAGTGATGTCAATGTTGTGTATATGGACTGTGAAGTAAAGGTTTCAATACTATTAATGAAAATTGAATATAGAAAACAAAATAAATAGCTGAAATTAATCATGTAAACTTACCCAAAAAGTTAAAAAGTTTATAAAATAACACCTGATGATGGCACTATTGATAGCCGAAACATGTCGTAAATGTTCCACATGTAAATCGAGTACTCGATAAGGAACGTAAAATGATATTTTAATCTTTTAATTATCTTATATTGTGATTGACGGCCAATTTTAATATATTTTTAATACTTAATAATTCACAATATGACGCATCTACAATATCTTACAATATCTGACACTGTTTCAGATTCAGAGGCTAAAGGCCAGTTGAAAATATTTCGCGTGAACCAACTGAACAATGTATAATAATTTATTCTTCTTTTCCTGCCCCTGGCCGCGTTTACTGTCGTGATTCTCGTCTGTCCTTAGGAGCCTTCGAGCTACATTGGCCTTCGGAATGCGAGAAAGTGAATTTCAATGGCTTTACGTAACGAGGTTTCTTTAGGATTTGATGGAGCTGTGACGCTCGACTGGGATCCAGGTACCTTGAAACGCGTTCGCCGGCCTTATTTGTTTAGCAATAAATTAATGCTGGGGTTTTTTCTTAAAGTAATACGGTTAATTGACACTCCCTATTGATCAGACGCATTAAGGCTTCGACCGGGATGTTCTTTTGTTAAATCTTATGTGGTACCGCCTGATTCGACTTCTAATGGTTAAGTGAAGTGTTTTCTTCGCGGTACGGTCTGGATTCGTAAATATTATGAAGACGAGCTTCGGCTTCAAAGGGTTAACCAGCTGATTTTCGTAATGGTGAGGTGAAGTGTTTTCTTCGCGGTACGGTCTGGATTCGTAAATAATATTCAGACGATCTTCGGCTTCAAAGGGTTAACCAGCTGATTTTCGTAATGGTGAGGTGTAGTGTTTTCTTCGCGGTACGGACTGAATTCGTAAATAATATTCAGACGATCTTCGGTTTCAAAGGGTTAAATCGTCTGTTTAATACGACACGACCGTTTCCTTCCAAATCCACGCGTATTCCCACTGCGCGGTCAGTGTTATAGGAGATGTCACCCCCCCCCTCACCTGCATTTAAATAGGCCACGGCCATGTTTTTTAAAATCTCGTCGGTGTGGTAACGTAAGATTCGAGCAGGTTGGTGTTTGGGGATTGAAGTTGCGTGTCGTGGTTTTCCTCGGGCCCTGCACGCAAATTTTGTTTTTGTCGGGAGTGAATGAACCACTTTCGGGTCGACTTTCGACTTACAGTCGTGGCCTGTTTTAAGGTAGTAGATTCGAATCCTGCACGGTTAGGCACTCCCGTCGAACGCACGATGGAACCCGACGCGGTCGCTGCACTGTACAGCTGATGGTTGCTCACCAATTCAGGCGCCCCGTCTATTTTTAGGTCGCTCAGCTGGTCTCTTCCTTCCTCTTACCTTGCACACAGTTGCTCCGCGCACTCAACACTGTGCCTTGTCCGCCGTGTCTGCTCTCGACCGGGACCGGCACTTCCTGTACGAAGCTTCCGGTCGGAAGGACATTACCATGGCAACTGAGTCAAGTCAAATCACGCAGAAGCTCGTGTTGCCGCACCTGGCCGCTGGAGGGTGCTGATTGCAGTGTCCGAATGGAAAGAATCTGAACGGGTGGACGGCCGTTCGTCTGTCTGAGATGTGGTCCAGTTGCGGGCTGCTGCAGACGCGGTAATGAACGAGCATCCAATTCGGGGAATCTCTCGACCGGCTTAACCACCGTCAGCGTGTCAGAGAAGAAAATGTTTCGAAATGTCGTAAATTATTTAAATATTCTTTGACGTAGGATTACTGTCCTGTGCAGACCCTCGACGGGGGGGGCAGAGGATTTTTCCTCCAAGCCTCTACGTCTGGACTAGTTCTGGGGTCCACCAAGTCTCCTGTTCAATGGGTACCCGGGTCCTTTCCCAGGGGCGTAACTCTGACCACTCACCCCCCCATCTAGTGCCGAGGTTAAGAATGAGTAGGAGCTATACCTTCTCTCTCCCCGAAGTGCCTATTTCAGCGTTTCTGAGAGCCTCGAGTTCCAAATTTTGTCAAAATACGAAGGGCGCCGAGGCGTGCCATGTCTCTAGCCAGTTCACCCAAATCCACACTCGCCCGGCCTTCAACCACAATTCGGTTTTCCCTTGAATAACTATCCCAGCAATGTAAGTAGACACCACGAAGTTTCTCAGATCGTAATTTTCTCCGTTCCCTCCCTCGTGGGGGCTTTATTTTTTGAAAACAATGCACAGTAATACAAAACAAGGGACAAATTGTATCTTCTGTGCAAAGCGAGGCCGGTAATCTTCGTGTTTCTGTTTCGACTTTCTCCCTGCCATCAGCAGTGCAGACTTTTGAGTTGGTAAACGAACTTCGCTGTCCAGTGGTTCGTACTCCCTTTCTAGAGGTCCTGGATAAAAATATTGATCCAGAGGCGAGATATCCTGAATTTGTCGTGGTTTTCCTTATGACCTCTCCAAGGAAATCCGGGAGCGCAACCGTGAGATTGATTATTCCGGTGCAGTCTCGTCCCGCACTGTTCATTGCTCGTTTCTGTGGTCGACGCGCGTCTTGGAGGAGGCTTTAAATAAAGGAAGAATAAATAAATAAATGAGTAGGTGGTCCATGGCCTCTGCTTTCTTACGGAGATGAAACTGTTACTGAGACGCTGAAGTAAATTAATGTTCCGACACTTCGTTTGTTTCTCGAAGTTCAACTTTGAGTGATTTAGTGACCTCGGGCTATGTTATTTTCCTGCATTCCGGGTTTACAAACTGAACGAGATAATTTCTTCGATTCCCGTCTTTATAAATCTTAATTTACACTGTGTTTATTTTCCGAGCCTCCATATTGTCTTTGCAATGCATTCTGGGAGCTGAAATATTTTCACTGCGTCGTATATCGTCCCGTGTAAACGCGACGCGATGCTGGTCGTCGTCTTCCCCGCGAGACGCTCTTAGTGACGTAACTCTCCCTACGAAAAACCGCGGTGGTCTAGCGGATAGAACGCTGGCCTTGTAATCCTGGGGTCTCGGGTTCGA